TCTATTAGCTCTATGAGCTTTACGCGCCGTACGCTCGGGTCTGTGTCTGGTCGGGCGGTGAGCTACCCTTACTCGCCGTCCGCAGACTCGCGCTTACGGTGGCCGGAGATTATCACAGGCACCTTTATATATATGTTTTTAAGGTGGCTCACGAAAATCGTATAGTGTCATCTCCGACCCCGGGTGGAGCGAGAAAGTGTGAGACTAACTAATAACCGCCCTGTTTCTTCTACTAATCCAAACCGGACCGCGGTACACTATAACTTTTTCAACTGCAACCCCTGCGCTGGATTGGACATAGGTTAATGTAATGCCCATGTAATAAGAACAATGTGTAAAGCTGCTACGCTCCTGACGAAGCTTGAGCGGATTCCATTTCTTTTCGTCCAATACGGACTCAGCTATTAGCATTGGATTATTTTTGACAACTACAGTGATTGGATGAACCGATCTCTTGCTAAATTTGTTCCATCTAGTGTTCAAAAAGTCGGTAGCCCTCATTTATTTCAATAAATTTATAAAAGAATAATATTGACATTTTTTTCTGTTTCAATAATAAAATTGAAACTAATAGCATAATATGTAGTTTACTCAACCGACTAAACTGTAAAACATAACATAAATACACTTATCTTTCATATTAATAATGTGAATGTATACGATTCCTAAGAAAACGTGGGTGTAAAGATATGACATAGTGTGTAGTAACTTATTTTTGGAACCGTCTCCTTGACGGACCGTTTGATATGACATGTTTATTGTTCCATCAAAAAAAAAAATATAACAGCCACTCTCATCAATGTTCCTGTATTAAGGTACTAACTGTCAACACTTGATCAAATTAAACATTTATTAAATTGATTACTTTGTGTTAAAAATAATATGATTTTTACGTGTCATATTTTTGTTGCGTAGTTTTGAATCAGATGAGACGCGCGTTGTGTTTATAGTAATTGATAAGCTTTCCTGTTTTTCAATTAATGATTTTCACATAATTAGAATTATAGATTACAAAAGCGAACGAGTCAAAGACATTTGTTTATTACATTATTTACATTTTTTATTTATTTTTTATATAAAAAAGGACTGATTGCTAAAATAATTTAGTCTATTTATTAGTTTACTTATTCCTTCCACCATATGGTGGGTAGAAGGTTAAGGTAAGGTTGTTAAACCTGCCAAATATCAAAGTGACTTTTTCCCATTTGTATAGAAAATTGTGAGCTAGACTTATAATTTGAGCAAGATCAATGTTCAAACTTACTCCATTGTGAGAAGAGGCTTTTGCTTAATAGTGCGCGGGGGCAGGCCCCGCTCTAGGTGGACCGACGTCATTGTCAGAGTCAATGGATGCAGGTGGCAACTTGTCATTCGACAGGGAGGACTCGCAAGCTGAGTGATGATAACGACGATAATAAATATTGTTTCAGAAAATAACAGATAAAATATAAAATAAGAACATATTTTGTATTACTATCAACTCTAAGTAAAATTTTACCGCTATCTACGCTACAATTTTTACCGGTAACATGAGAGAGGGAACACTTTGCACTCGTATATACGCGACACACGCAGACCGACCGGAATAACTTTATATACAAGACATCGTCGAATGTTTGAGCTCTACACTGAAACTGGACAGATTTACGACATGAAATGACTGTGGTGTCTCTAGGAAATGTGGAAAATTGCTGGCTATATCTAGTACCATTTTTATGGACAACATTTTTCAAGACTTTTTTCAAATCGATTTTAGAAACTGTGTCAAATAATAATAGTTAAAGAAAGAACGGCGTAGATGTTTTAAAATAAGTAAATACTTAAAAAATACTAAAGATAATGTCATGACTTAAAATTATAGTTACCTAGCTTACGTCGCTTCGTGTCACTGACACATTGAAAAATCTACATTTTATGTCTTTAGCTGGCGTTGCTATTCTACGGTAGGGATGTAAAAAAGTGTTTGTTATATTTGTATTTAATTCTTTTTGTCATAATAAGTACACATTACATACATGAAAAAAGTTTTAAAATGCTGCTGAATAATTGACAAAAAAACTGACAATACGGTAGTTTCCAACTAGTCAAATTCAATACTTTTATCCAAATGTCAAAAACGATACTTTTCTATGAAATTTGTATGAAAAACTGAGGTATGGCGTCATAGTATTTTTGCGTCAAATAACTTGCTTATTTCTTAATAATTAGCTACAAAATATCTAAAACTTAGCCTATCGATCGATCGATGATATTTTATTGTATTGAAACGTCAAATTAATTTATTTTTGACCTAGGAAACTACCCGATTGTTGCAGACATTTGACCCCATTTCATGACGAAATGAAAAATCAATCTGAACTCCTCAAAACATATTTGAATTTCAAAAAAGACATAATTAATTTATGAGACCCGAAATATTCTAATTTATTGTTCATAGCGGGAAGAAGTAAGAAGTTAGCGGTGTGGAAATCCATTGTTTCCACTGCGGCATCCCAAAATAGGTGTATTTAATTTTAATTACAATCTTCCCACACAATAAATGGTGTTTGTTAATTTATATTTATTTTTGAGTAGCTTTGGTAAAGGGTGAGTTCGTTTTATTGCGTGATAAAGAGGGCTAGGTACGAGTTAGCTGACCACAGTGCGTGAACGTGTTATGACGTAGTTTGTTATTATCACGCCGTTTGTAATACATTGTAGGGACACAGTGTGACACAATGTGTCTTTCCACTCGTGTTTTTTGCCTGTAGGAATGCTTTTTTTTGAGCACAATCATCAGATTACTTTTCTCGAGTGAGACCAGAAGGGAGTCAGACTCTAGCCGAGGCCGCGGTGCCTTATTGCGCTTGTCCCGGAACCCCGGCTGAATATCAAATCAAATCAAATTCTTCATTTCAAGTTGACCAAAAAGGCACTTTTCAACGTTAAGCAAAAAAAATATCATTAACTTTATCATGTCATTCTGTCCATCTGTCCTCTAGTAAAGTTTTTTGCTTGTTCCAAAGTGTAGATTCCTATGGAGAGGAACGAGCAAGAATCAGCATAGTTACTCTTTTTCAATCAGTTTCACAATGCTTGGTTACATAATTTAAAAAGCTCTATTATGTGAGAACAGTGTTACACTAATGTTTAACCAGAGGATCGGAAAAATCGTCTCTGTATGGCCCCGTCTGTAATGGTCTATTCGCTCTTTGAGGCGCGTGCGGAACGCTACGCACCGTTCGCTCGGGTATCGTTCTTTCTTTCATATTTTCACACAACGAACGATATTTATTTAATATCTCATCTTCTAGAAGGTCAAGAAAGAGATAGATCTATAAGCGTATCTATTCTACACATTTAGGTAATGTTAGGAAAATTGTAGTGGGCACGCATATTTTTACCTTCATTATAATTTATTATTTGTCTGATCTGGTAATCAAATATCAAAACTTCTAAAGTTAGTTGTAATAGAAAATGTAAGAATCAAGGGATTTTCATTATATTATACTAGTCGGAGAGATTGCTATCTTCAAGTTGGTCGTAGTGTGTGTTCAGACAGATTGAGGTTAGAGTACAGCGATCTCCATGCGGGTCGCTTCAAATACCATGAGCAAAGTTATTGATATAACATGTAGGTATAGAATAATTCAAATATAGAACCTATAAGTTAGATTCCAAATTTAAATTTTGAAAATCAAGACACTTTTCTTTCAAGGAACTGGAATTATCTTACGAAGAAATATTTTTTTTTTCGAAGGGTAAGCACAACGTTTTTATTAGTTGACAGTTATTATTTTTTTGTAATAGGATTAAGGCAAGCTTATCACAGACACATAGTCACTACCAATCTCCTTGCATGATTCTAATCCTGCACAAAAATTCTATATCCAAAAAAAATATAAGAGTAACTAAGGAATGTCTAGGACGTCCTTCTCATTGGAATTGAAGTTCACCTTTGGATAGACAGATAGACAGACAGGCTGATAGACATGTTTAGATCGTATAGTTATGGTTTATCAACCTTGGTGTGTTTTTTTAAACAAACCTTGAAAATTATGAAATGATAATTGGGTATTTCATAAATAAAAATGAAAGGACTAATCTTACGCCTATTTTTTGGTCAAAGGGATGAAACGAACAGACTTATAACCTAATAGCGACCTGCCCTGGATTCGCACGGGTGCAATGGCGATACTAAATTTCTCTACTATTTTATGGACGTTATTATACTGTTATGTAAGTTCGTGCATGTAGCGTGAACCACCGTATAAGTACTTATAATTTTGGTGTTTCTATACTGATTTCTATCATTTTTTTATTGAATAGGTAACAATGTAAAGTGCACAGGATATGAAGAATGATTGTACCAAGTTTCGGTAGTTTTTGTTTCTATATGCAACGTACAGACAGACAGAGAGACAAAAATTTTACTGATTGTATTTTTGGCATCAGTATCGATCACTTATTACCCTCTGATAGTTATTTTGAAAATATATTTAATGTACAGAATTGACCTCTCTCCTACAGATTTATTATAAGTATAGATGGTCATGGACAGCAAGCGTTGCGTTGTTTCTTTGTCATCACAGTCACAAAACCAAAACGTCCTAAACTGGCTTATTTGTGCCGATGTGTGCCTTTTCCACGTGACACACGTGACTACATTTTTACGCACATTAGTTATTCTAAAAAGAAATAGCTCTAAATTCAAACGTGTCTATATTAAGTCGACTAATTGATTTAAAAATAGGCGACATGTTCTTTTGCAAATAAATGAAAGCAAATAATTGTTCTATTCTGTTTGTGCATTTACTTAGCAGACTGTTAATGGACGAGTGTTTATTTTTGTGGTTTTGAAAGTAAATAATAAAGGTAATTATTATTTAACAAAAAAAAAACCTGTTAAATATTGTTCTAATGCAGTGCGAAGACCTCGTCTGTCTACAAGGAGTGCAATACCATTTATTATACAAGTTCCTGAGCTTATTATGTAATGTGAAAAATAATTAATTTGCCAGAAATATTGATATGGCTTTTATTACGTTTGCATAGAGTTAATAGTACTTATTAAATTAGTTGTGTGTGTAACAAATAGTTTGTCTGGACCGGAGTGATACAAAGGTCTCACAGAACGCCGGAGACAAACAACAGAACAGCGTATAGTTGTTTTAGGTACCTACATGAAAGTTTATCTGCTAGGAATATGTACATTGAGCTTATTACTTAATCCTACTAATATTATAAATGAGAAAGTAACGGTTTTTGAATGTTTGTTACTCAATAACGCCATATCGTCTGGACAGATCTCGATGAAATTTAGCAGGCATAGGATACACACTGGAATAGACATAGTCTACTTTTTATATAACATACCAGTACCTCTCTATACCTATGTCTAAGTAATACAAACAAAACTTGTATCTTCTCACTCCTGATTATCTAAAGTTATCTTCATCAATTCAAACTCGAAACTTGAACGACCCTCTCGTGTTTGTACAGCTTGCTTTACATAAGTAACTAACATATTATATTGTTTGAAAATTTGATAAGTATACATACGTTGTAAATCCACTCAGTCTGACGGAATCTTGGACTATTTTTAACGAAAAACAAATGAAAAAAGGACATTTTTATTTGCTTTAGGTCACTATCTCGCCAGATGGTCAGCAAATGTCTGATCTACGATAGAGCACGATGATCCATAAGCACCCAGAAGCACCTGGGTGCCGTGGGATTAGGTTCCCACGGCACCCAGCTACTTCGGGGAAGACAAAGTCCGGCGAAGACTCCCACTACATATAACAAGCAATCATTACATTTCCATCAATAAAGAACATTATCTATTTTAACTGAACATATAACAAGGTTTATTTTCTAGTCCGTTCTTTTCTTTTTTTACTTGGTTCTTAATTTTTTGTGAACATGTTTGCTACGTGCTAATTTTCAATCATAAAGTTATTTGAATAGACCACCATACGGGTCCATGAACTTAAGCGGTGTAATATACCGTGGCTCAGCTTAGAGCAGGAGTTGAAGGACCCACAAGCCTGGTGATCTATTGGCTCTTTGAAGCGCGCTCGGAACGCTACGCACAGAACGCTTGGGTCTGGTTCTGGTTGGGCGGCAAGATACCCTTATTCGCCGTCCCAGACCCAGGATCCCATGTAGTCCCATGCAGACCCAGGATTACGGTGGCCGGAGATCGTCGCTCGGGCCCATCAGGGGTTTGAAGAGCTAATCGATGATTACAAGCTAATTGAATAATAACTATTTCACATGGAGCGACTATCAACTGAATACAACCTAGGTACTTAGAAAGGTACCATTTTCCTGGTTCGAAACGGCATCAAGTTTTTATGACTTCTGATCGACATTACCCGTAATGACTTTCTATAAACATAAAATCTTCGATTATTTAATAAGGTTACATTAACCCGGTGTCTGAAATCCTATAAATCGATGGGGTATAATTTTTATTATACCTTTTAATGATATATTTTGGGTTTATTGCTATCGCGTCAGTATCGAGATGGGTGCGCGTAGGTAACACACGATATTTGACCTTGCATGCTTGTAATAAGGTCGTAAAATATTTATTGATGTACGTAGTACATAGAATATTATTATTATTACATGCCTTAAATTAAATAAACTACACGCTAGTTCGTGTAAATATGTTCTTAGAGATTATTTTTGTCTGCTACAAAAAAATAAACAAGTAATATTTTAATTTACTAACTAAATTAACATTCAAAATTTATCATTCATAAATTAAAAACATTTTTTTATGTTTTTGTTTATTAGAATGCTATCATAATTTGATGAGTTAAAAAGCTTAGGTATTCATAGACATTAAAGTTGTAGTTTAAAAAACAGTAAACGGATTGAAAGAATAAAGATGTTTGTAGGTGACCAAATATTTAGTTCAAAAATCTATAGAGAAGTGCAATTTTACCAAAGTTTCAATTTGAGATAATAACGCCATTGCCATGTGAGTGAGGTCACCGAAGGCCCAATCCTTCCCCTCCTCCAATCCCTTCTCAATCCCTAAATCTCCGAATCCCTAATCCCTGAAGGTCGGGAACGCACTCATAGCTCCTCCGTTGCGGGTTTCTATGGGCGGCGCTGATTGATTACCATCAGGTAATCCGTCTTCTCGTTTGCCGATCTATTACATAAAAAAAAACTGAAAATTCATAATATCCAATCCAACTGGCCTCTTCAAATATTGAACCACGAGAATAAATGAAATAAACATTACTTTGTTTTGAAACAAATATACGTGAACAGTAAAGTTACCTTATCGAGTATTAACAAAGCCTTTCAAAAAGTTTCAATTCTTCATAAAAATATCGATGCTAATATCTATGGTTTCAGCCATGACGTTGTTTGGCGCCAAACAATGAACTTCGTTTGTTTTTACTTTTCAAATAAAGAAAATTTTCTCCAATAATAATACAAGTACCTACATATAGGATAAACCTTCGTTAAGGCAATTAAAATAATCCAAATCAGCTTAGCTGTTCATAAGATAAGCGCTCAAAATCACATTTTAGCGACTCGTTTTGACAAGTACCTAAAGTAGCTATGCCCGATTTTCAACCCGCGTAGTTTATAATTTTATATGTGACTTTTACCGGGGGATAATGTAGCTTCCGAACAGTGAAAGAGTTTTCAAATCGGTTCCTATTCAATTCATAAAGAATTAAATCTCTGTATTTTATAATATTAGTTAAGATTACTGACTTTCAGCTCGTTGCTTTGTCCGCATTGTGAAGCGAAATTATTATGTCACTGTTCAACTTTATAACAATTGCCAGACACAAAAAACATTATATTCCAAGACTCCGTTTCGAAGTAGAAAAAAACAAAAAAGAAACGCATAATTATATAAATTATTTCAAACTTAGCTTAGGCTTAGTAAGGATTAATTAAAAGTTGATTATTTATTATATTTTCAAACGAACTGCTACCGATGTTAAAATATAATTTTTAAATATTCTATTACTGAAATTAATATTTTCATGTTTTTAATCCGAAAACATTGCCAGTTTTTAAGCTAAAACCTCAATGATTTTACAGTATCAGTTTCATAGTATTGTTTTCATTAAAAAACTATATGTTTATTCATAATTATATGAAAACCAATATGCACGTAGTTTGCAATTCTGAGCAAGTAATGGATACAGGTCGTAGCACTAATGTCTCCATTAGGAGCGTATGCGACTTGATACTGTTGTTAAATAAATAGACTGCGCTTAGACTTTATTTTAATTACTAAAAGTTTCTATAAGTTTCCATATTTCCATACCTATGTCTGTCGTTTCCACTTATTTAGAGAACTGAGAGTAAAGTTTACTTAGATCTAAGTAGGGGACATGCTTCGGCATCGAATCGAATAAAAGAAATCGAATGGGCCAATTCGACCGGAGTGATACCACGGACAGAAAACCGGCGTGAATCAAAACTTACGTCGTATTTCACCGTGTGAGTGAGATTACTGGAGGCCTAATCATCTTCTCCGCCCCCAATCCTTTCCCAATCTCTAAATTTCAGATACACTAATCCCGAAAAAGTCGGCAGCATACTCGTAAGTCCTATGGTGTTTCGGGTGTCATGTGTGTCATGAGATTGCATGTCGGCTTGTTTGCCATCCATACCCATAATGGCATCATCATGCATTAACAATATCACAAAACCAGACACAACGAAATGAAATATGTAACATTAACAGCTGGGATCGTCGATATCTTTCATTAATTTCAAATACATTTGCAACATACTGTAACAATTTACCAGATGGCCATTCAAATTTCGCACTAATCAACACATCATTCCATCAAGGATTCGCATAAAAATATCTTCACGTCTTAAGTCTCAATTTGTTTTAAACAGTTTATAAATTTAGGTGTAAATCACTCACCCTTTTTGGCTTCTTTATAGAACGCAGATGTTTGGATGATGATGCTTTGACCTGAAAAAGAAATATATGTAGGTAAGTACTTATGTTAGTATTGAAATGTGGTCAAGGTAATGAAAATATTGTTAGATAATAATATTTTGACATTTAAAATCATACTCGCGAAACATCATGGTATTACTATTTCAGGGAGTTAAGTGTGGGAGAGCCAACCTTCAGCACGAATGGTCGGCTCGACCGGAGTGATACCACGGCCTCACAGAATACCGGCGTGAAACAACCACAGCGTTGTGTTTCGCCGTGTGAGTGAGGTTACCAGAGGCCCAATCCCTCCCCTATCCCTTCCCGATCCTTATATCCGCAACCCCTATCCCCAAAAGGCTGGCAACGCACTCGTAACTCCTTTGGTGTTGCGGGTGTCTATGGGCGGCGTCGATTGCTTACCATCAGGTAATCCGTATGCTCGTTTGCCGACTTATACCATAAAAAAGGGAGTTTTATCTTCGTAGTGGTAGTACGAAGCGAACAGTACGTAGGTACCTATTTATTATTTGTTTTGCTTTTAGCTAATGTTGTTAGGAGTTTCATAAGCGTAATAGGGCAGATAGCTTTTAACAAAAATCTTCTCTGTAATTTTTTTTTTATAAGTTACTATCGTAAACCTACTTTATATATAAAAAAACGACTTACTCACGTAAATAAACTGAGAATATCTCTACTAGTTTCAAGCTACAACGGGACTCTTATTGTGAGCGTCAAAACGACGTCCCGTAGCCCACTCGGTTAGTACACGTTGGTAAGTCGTAATAGTCAATAAACTTAATGTATGCTGTTATTTCTTTTGTGGAGAACTAAGGGGGAGGCCTTAGTCCAGCAGTCGAAGTGATGATTTAATCATAAAATTCGTAGACTACCAGTAGTTTCCGAGCATACGGCGCGTAGCGTTCCGCGCGCGCCTCAAAGAGCCAATAGACCACCACAAACGGGGCCCTATAGGGCTGATGTTCAGTCGGGGTTGCGGGGTAAGCGCAATGAGGCACCGCGACCTCGGCCCAGGGCATGAAAAGGAACAGGGGGGTTTTTAGTCAGTAAGAGTCTGACACTCCCTCCCGCGCCCGGCCCGGCGGGAGAAGTCATTTGATGATTTTCACCATACAAAAAAAAAGTAGTTTTTCCGAGTATATCTTAGAAATATAAACTGCCTCAAAACTTATCTGACTGCACAATCCAAGCCCAAACCGTTCTAGACAGACCAATCTATCTAGTACAAATACAAACCACACTACATACATTTCGAACCACAAAAAAAGGTGACTTATGGCGGTCATTCCATCCATCACTTAGCCAATTAAGTGTCCAGAATCCAATTAAGTGTGAAACCCCCATATCATTGAGTGTTCGGACAGTAACAGTAATTCCATATAGTGTAGACTGAACGTGCAAATATACAGACTTGTATAACATGGGGTGTGACGTCACATGCTTGTTCAAATATTGAAAGAGTCAGTTTTTGGCGCGGCAATTTTATGGTGAAGTGTGTTAAACTTGAGAAAGAGAGGAGAAGATTGGAGGAGAAGGAGGAGAAAAATGGAGGAAGAATGAGGAAATAAGATGACTCTGCATAACCTTTTGCATAATGTAAATAAAACAAGCTTTTATGTTTTGTCAACTTATTTATATCAGCCTGCTAAACTGTTATGTGTTAATCAGATTACAATATATGTAAACGTATATTGCCTTATTAATAAAATACTTATTTTCTTGATTTTAATATCCAATCTTATCTAAATCGCACAAATGGGCCGACAACGTTACTTGTGACACCCGTTCTGTTTGGAGTTTTCATAAGAATCGCTGATTGATTTGGTTCGCCAAATACCAAGAAAGAAAAATCATTTTGGAATCAAGGAAAACACTTTTCTAAATACCATTGCAAAATGCATAAAAATGTAAATGTATTCAACAATACAATATAACTTTACCTACTTGAAATTTATCTCTTAATAAAATCAAATACTGTACGTATTCCACATTCAGTTCGTTTTAAACTGAAATAGTTTTCAATATTCAGAATATTCAAACAGTTAAAGTTAAAGGTATCTGTTTTATTGGTGTTTGTATGAAAATCTATATTTTTAAAGATATACAAATTAATTGTATTAATTGATAGAAATTATGATAAGTAATAATAAATACATAATAAATTTGTGATTTTGAAAATCGAACTTTAACACATTTTTTTAAACGGTCGTTCTCTGGTTCCTAGCTTATAATTATATGTGAGTAAACTTTAAGTTGAACACAAGATCCATTTAGTGCTCTGGTCAATGGTGGGGGTTAGTCAGTAAGTCTGGCATTCCCTCTCGCCTAAACTTTAGCAAGAGACGTCAAATGATTTTCCCATCATAAAAAAGTACTATAATGTTATATTATCATACCACGAACACATAAACACACAACTTAGCCACTCGCAACTCTGGCGCCTTGAATCTGGATAAATCCAAATCTGGTGAGATATACCACAAAAAAAAACGCTCCAGCATTTAACTTCGCCACAAAGCTATCAACAACAACTTCTATTTATAACACTTTTAAAACGAGAACTAAAACCGAGCCGTGACGTCACCGTTTGTTTTTTATCACCTCCACAGATTAAATATATTGTAGCCGAAACTGTAAAAATGTTATGGTGATTTCATAGATTTAGTTGAACAAATAAACAGGTCTGGTTATGCAAATTGTTGGAATTCACCAGGCTGTAAGTATAGGATTACAAGGGCAAGTACTTAGTATAGTACAAATGTTTATATTTACTTTGATCTGCAGACAGAGTGGTATTTTGTTAAAAATGTATGTTCCAGGTTTACATAATAAATTAACAGATTCGAATAAATATTTTATTACTTGCTATTTTTTTTTTAATTCGTCATAATTTAAAAATTTCGTAATCTGTTCGTGCTTAATGATATGGTGGCGCTTTTTTATATAATAATATTAATCGTTGTATGTATATAAGTAAAATATATTTTTAAAAATAGTATAAACAAAACTGGCTGGCGACGATATTAAAACTCAGTCAAATGCGAGCCAGGCAGAATAATAATGCGCAATACAAAATGTAGGAAAATGCATTTCTTTGAGGTTTCTTTAGGTAGACCTTTTACACGTGAATTTATGAGATTTCATATTGTAAATTGATGTCGTAAAGGTTATTACGTAAAGCAACTATTTTACAAAAGTATTTGTTGGCTATTTTAGAAATGTCAACAGAATCATCAATAAGTTTCGTTATTAAAATTTTGTCAAAGAAAGTACTTTTCAAATAATTACACAATCAAAAATATTCATTAATTATTTATTTCACGATATGCTTGATATTGGACTAAAAAGAGTAAGAGTGCGGTTAACGCAAAAACACGATGATGTCACAAGTCTGTATTTCATGAAAAATCCATTGAAAAGCTATAGCTCTTGACATTTCGTTAGTCAAATAATGTATAGGTCCAAATTGAAACAAGAAGTGTGACTTCTCTTTGCGGGGCAAGCGCAATAAGGCACCTAGGCCTCGGCCTAGAGCAGGAGAAGGATCCCGTTCCTTCTCCTGCTCTAGGCCAAGGCCTTTAGTCACTAGGAGTCTGACACTCCCTCTCACCCCCTAGGCGAGTTAAGTCATTTGATGATTTTCTTTCACAAAAAGTGTGACTTCATTTATCACACTTTAAAAAAATTAATAACCAACTGAAATATGTATTTCAGAGAACACATCGTTTCGTTTCGTTTCGTTCGCAGTGCCAATGCAATATCAATATCTCTGTCGGGATACGAGAATATGAATCTGAAATTTTTCACTGAAACATTGGATATTACTTTCATGATTACATTAAGCTTGGTTCGAAATAAATGTTCGCTGTATCGAAATTGTAGATTGTGTGTAGCCTTCAATCCGTTGAAGTTTTGTATTCTTTTGCTGTGTTCTTTTCGTAGGTTATCAAAAAAAGTTACATCTAGAAGTTAATAGGCCAGAAGGGTTAATTACAAAAATATTTAAATATAAAATTTATTTGAATTTCGAACAGTTTTCATCATATCAAATTATAAAAATCAATTCAAGAATCTGTAACTCTTCCATACGTGATCCCGAATCAATTAATCATATCTTGCGAAAACTCGTGCACTGAGGCAGTTAAATTGAATGCTCACACTGAAAAAAGTTTTTTCGATTGAATCAGGTTTTTTATCTTTTCAATACTTTTCTTCGCATTCCTAAATCCTTCCCATCACATAACATTCACTCATATATCACCTTAATACCAGCAAAATAAAGTTTCAAAGGGAAATATGCACCGTTACAGAAAAAGGGAAAAACGAGATATAGGATTGTAAGCAACATTAACAAAAAGCACCTTTATTAGTTTATACTTAAGTCTGATTATACTGTGTCCTTGATAAGCTACCTAATGTTTCTTTCAACCAATTGTTTTGTGTAAAGACACCACCAATATACCTATATAAATAATGGTCATACAAGAGCTCTCTTAAAAGGTCATAGAAAATCTTTTCCTAGTAATAATATAATTGTCACTGATAATGTAACTAGGAAATAAATTTTTTACGCTTTTGGCATGCAATTGAAGCTAAAGAGATATAATGAATTCATAAAATAATACCACTTCTAGAATCTGGCATTGTTAATTTATACCAATTGAAGAAGTAAATGTTAATCAAGAAAAAAGTACGGCAAAGTTGATTACAGAAACGGAACAGAATATTGGAACGAATATAAGCAGGACCTCACAGAAAACCGGCGTGAAATAACTACAGCGTTGTATTTCGCCGTGTGAATGAGGTTACCCAATCCTTTCCATCCCCCAAACCCTCCTCAATCCCTTAATCTCCAAATCCCTAATCTCTAAAAGGTCGGCAACGCACTCGTAACTCCTCCGTTGCGAGTGTACATGGGCGGCGCTGATTGCTTACCATCAGGTAATCCGTCTGCTCGTTTGCCGACCTATAACATAAAAAAGGGCAATAATTTTGTAGTTTATTTCGCATTTACTAAAAAAAAACACAACTTCACCATAAAGAAAGAGACAGAAAAAGAAATAGATGATGTACTCGAAGCGGCTTTGCCATGTACGTACTTAGGTACGTATTTAGCAATGAAATAACTCGATTGTATAATTTTGTTAGCAGCATTCTGTCCAGTGCGGAACGTATAACATTATATAAATCCAAGTTCTTGTGTTATAACAGTCCGGAATGTTAGCGTGCAAACGAATGTTAATTTTTGCTACCTTACAATGTTTAAGTATAGCGATAAATTTGCTTTGCAATCATGATTACACAGTGAGACATTATAACTGTATATGAGATAATCCTTTACACGGTATATTGAAGCATTTTATTTTTATTTAGGGCTGATTTTTCAATAGGCACTAAAATGTTATCTAAGGAATAAAATTGTTGCTGTCCCTGTCTTATACACATAATTATTCCTCAGATAACTTTTATGTACCTATCTTTGAAAAATCAGCTCTTATTTAAAAGATTCCGTCTTGCTTTTTTACCCCCGAACTCAGAGTCATAATAATATAATGGTTAATTAATCCAGTCTTTTCCAGTCGTTTTTGTAAAAAAATTGTCATTTACAAAAAGTTCAAGTTATCAATATATATTATATATCAGTTCTCCTTCTGTACATTAAATACAATTTTAGCCTCCATATGCAAACTATAATTCGAATCTAAAACTGAAAAACTAATTATATCTTGTTCATTAATATATTACTTACACAACTTACAAATGAACTTACTTGCTTCACTAAGCAGAAATTAATTGTTGTATAATACCACGGCTTTAGTTTGTAGTTAGTATTTGAATGCAAATAAGTAATAAATATTTGTGCTGTATCTCAGACCTTTGGCGGCCGCGAGTTCTGGACGGGAGCCAAGTTTAATAAAACCATTGGTTGCCTACTGTTGTTACCTTACCTTGTAAATAATAAATACTACTACTTTTTATATTACACTAGCTTTTATCGTGATATTTCAAGTTTAAGCACGTTTGTCTAGTATTTGGAGAAGTAATAAAGTAAAAGTTTAAGTATAAGAGAGCTAAACTTCGGCACGAATGGGCCAGCTCGACCGGAGTGATACCACGGCCTCACAGAAGACTGGCGTAAACAAAGAGAATCGTCATTGGGCGTAAAGCACTACTTACGTTGTGTTTCGCCGTATAAGTCAGGTTTCTGGAGGCGCAATCCTAGATCCTCTATACTCAAATCCTCTATCCGTAAACCCCTAGGACAAGAGGCCGGCAACGTACTCGTAGGTAAACTAATAACTCGGGAACTCCTTTGGTATTGCGAGTGTCCAAGGGTGGCGCTTATTGCTTACCATCAGGTTATCCACAAGCTTGTTTACCGCTCTTTAACATAAAAAAATAACTTGTGATTTAAATTTATTATGTTGTACGCAATGTAATAGAATGTAGTTTTATGCCGATCAATGAGTAGCATAGTTTAAAGTATTCTATAATATTAATATCCACCGAATATCGTAGTAATAGAGGTCAATAATTTTATGACTAGTACAAAATACAATAAACTGCAACCCTTGAAAAAATCTCATTCTTATTTAGTTGTCGAGTCGTGTTCAATTTCCACACAGAACAACTACCTATTTGTGTGATATACAAATTGTTGTTCCGAGTATGAGTGTGATTTTGTATGTTTATAAATGCCCCCAGTAAAATCCTGATGTGGGGCAAAGTTAAAACATAAATATAGTAAATTATATCAAATCGTATTGTAACACAAATTCATTCTTAATTTCAATTTCTCGTGGAATAAAATAATGTGTTATTTTTCCACAAACAAAAAAGAAGAAATGCAGTAATACACCATATGTTTATTATTTGTTTTGGTAATTAACAAAATATGATATCAAAAGTGTTTATAAACGTTGAGATGATTGACAGCGATGCTTACATCGCTTCAATGAGCCGTCATCGCCAACTGAAAGGAACAGACTTTGATGTGAGGAATCCGGTACATTCACGTTAGATTCTGAGAAATAAATAGCAGATAGCACAAGCGATGCTATTGAAAAACAATCCTTTTAACTTCAATTCAGCACAAATGACGTCCATTTTGAATAAATGAAATGTAACTTATCAAGTGCAAATTTGATTTATTTTGTTTCAATTTCTTAGATGTATTTTTCAAACTGTTCTCTTTCTACTTTAGTTCTGTGGTTTTTTTTATTGGAATGTGTTGCGAGTTGTAAATGGAATGTATTTTAATAATAACTTTGAAGCAAATGCAATGGTAGTACGAATAAAACTGTTCTTGAATGTACCTACTTACTTAGATGTTGGTGTCTAAATCATTTTTTTCTATCCTTTGTATAGTGTTTATGTAGTCAAAGTCAAACTAAAAAACATTATTCCAATTAAACTATAAACATTTATTTTAATATTTAAAATAGTATAATAGTTCGTCAGTGAAGCTAGGTGCTCGTTCCATAATGATACATACGAGGAAGAAATTCAATTCCTGTTTTATAATAACTATCGTGAGACATACTAAATTAACTAAAAAACGCGTGTTACTTACGTGTGTATATTGCGAAAAGCTCTACTAGTTTCGAACCACAGAAGGGTTCTTCCTCAAAAACAAGGAGGAAAAACCCCTCTGTGGTTCGAAACTAGTAGAGTTTTTCGCAATATACACACGTGAGTAACTCGCCATTTTTAGTTAAATTCCATTCCTATTTTGACTTACGTAGATTATGTCTCAAATCAATATTTGAAGTAGTCCGATTTTGTTTGAGGAACTCCAAACGTTATTAGGTTCATCTGGATGGTCGCATGTGAATGGAGATAATAGATAATGTATATATGTACCCATTTACTTCTACGAATGACTTGTAGATTGAAAAAAGCTTAAACTAAAAATTCAATAATCATCACTCATTTTCAGCACGTTGAACTACTAAAGATTATTATACTTTATACAAAAACAAGTAACTCAATTTTTTTTGCTTATTCAAAATGCAGACAAACGAACATGAGAGCAAATTAAATGAAAAAAAAAAAGTTTTGGCGCCCAAAACGTTTTGCGGGCGACAAATTGATGCGTATTCAGAAAACGTGTCGCTTTCACACTTGTTTTAAAACCCACTCCAATTGATACAGAATAATTCGAACGAGTCTCGATTTTACGCAATTATCCCGAATGTATGTTAAAGTCCGGCTATTGTTAGAGTAGGAATAAAGTGATCCGATTGGCCTGTCATCGCGGCCAATTTGTATTAGTCAAATAGAGGAAATTGGTTGTTGTCGGTGACTAAGGTCAAATGCTCGTGGACTGTCTGGCTAATGTGTTTATAATCCGCTTTTTTGAGGATGATTCTTTGCAGAAGATAGGTTTTTTCAACAAATCATAAGATTAATATTATGTTTTCGGCTTACTCACGTTATAATTTTGACGAGATACTCGACTAGTTTCAAGCCATGCTAGAGGCCATAAGCCGAAACTAGTCAAGTATCTCGTTAAAATTGTTACGTGTGAGTAAGCCGAAAACATATTAACTAATTTAGAATGTCTCACGAAAGTTATAATAAAAGTCGTAATATTTTTTTTATGTAATAGGACGGCAAAAGTGTAGACGAGATTACCTGATGGAAAGCAATCAGCGCCACCCATGGACACCTGCAACAACGGAAGACTTACAGGTGCGTTGCCGAGCTTTTTGGAATAAGGGTTACGGGGAAGGATTGAGGAGGGGAAGAATTGGATCACCAGTAACCTCAATCACACGGCGAAATACAACGCTGTGGTTATTTCACGCTAGTTGTTTGGGTGGCCGTGGTACCGCTCCAGTCGAGCCGATCATTCGTGCCGAAGCATGGCTCTCCCACACTTTCCGAATTGGTAGCTAAGTATTATTATAAAAATGTTGACTATACAGTTTGACGCGCTAGTTGGGAAACCGGCTGTAGGTGAAGTGCAGTGCAGACATCGCATGTCAGTAAACGCACCCACGACACAAGGGAAAATCCTATAACAAGTGAGTTTAAATTTCATTACAATAAACGTTCGCATTAAACTCAATTTCAAGATAATTATATACAACACATCTAACATGCTAAGGACTCAGTGTTTACAAATTGTGAACTGTCACTCCGATTTTTGACGAGATATTTTGTATAATATATAAGTGTCTGCCCACTTAGTCGATTACTAGAAAGAAATCATGCTTTATCTAAAATCACGAACACATATACAAATACCTAAACAAAGTCTGAAACACTAGGCTCACACATTGGATTGATGATAAAAAACTCAAAATTTGATTCGAAACTGTCAGATGTACCACAATCTCTTTTCAAATCTAAATTTAAAACGAGATTTATGATTGCGAAAAACTTTCGAATGTGGAAAATTTATGTTAATTTTTATTTCAAATGGGAAATTTTGTTACTTGTTTACGTATTTGTAAGACAAGTAAGTTTGAGTTTTCATTAAAAACAGAGGTTCAATCTCTAAATGAGTTTGAATATCAAAATTTATTTTTGAGAACATCGAACATTTTCTGCTTCCATTGGTACCTAATGAATAAGAAAATTAACATATAGTACCTTTTTTTTTATATAATAGCTCGGCAAACGAGCAGACGGATTACCTGATGGTAAGCAATCAGCGCCGCCCATGGACACTCGCAACGGAGGAGTTACGAGTGCGTTGCCGACCTTTTAGGGTTTAGGGATTTGGAGATTTAGGGATTGAGGAGGGATTGGGGAAGGGGAAGGATTGGGCCTCCGGTAACCTCACTCACACGGCGAAACACAACGCAGTGGTTATTTCACGCCGGTTTTCTGTGAGGCCGTGGTATCACTCCGGTCGAGCCGACACATACGTGCCGAAGCATGGCTCTCCCACACTTAAAATAGAGAGTATATTATAAGTTATTAGGGCTTAATAAAGAAGAATAACAAATCGCGATGTCCTTTTATTATGAAG